TATTTCAGATGATGCCAAAGACCTGGACCACAGCCCCTGTCTGGTTCCTACCATTGAGTGGTCCTCCTCACTCCAAAATAAAACAAAATAAACACCTCACAGGGCCCCTAGATCTTCATGCCTCTCTTAGTTTTCCTTTTTGTTTCATTACTGTTTTGTTTTTGTTTTTTTCTCTTCCAAATCAGCTTCTGAATAGCCCCAATCTGCAGCCAGCACCATGCAGCTACCATGCAATAGTCCCAGCCTCTGTCAGGCTGCCTATCAAGCATGCAGCTTTATCCCCACACCACCAAAAAGTGACCTGGCCAACAGAGTTTCAGATCCTTCCACTTACGTCTCCCCAGCTAGCTTAGCTCACTTGCTGGAGCCTCCAATCTGCTTCATCCCCGACCCGCTGACCTGCCTATGGCCCCCAGCAAAGAACTTCATTAAGGCCGAGAATTTATTCCTCCATAAGCCCTTAATTTATTACTGCGCTGATTGGGACTCGGAATGCTCCAAGGTCAGGAAAAGTCGTACTCAATCGTAGACAACAACCCTCCCTTCAGCAGTTTCTTCTGTTGTCCACTTCCAGGGGAGGGGAGGCAAAAATACTTCTTGGAGGAACACAGAAGTCTCTTCCTCCTTCCTCTGTCCCTGCTGGTCCTGGCCCCACCCCTTCAGAGAACCCTGAAATTACAGCAGGGCATAGAGCACAGATGGTAGAAGAAAAGAGGAGCAGCAATCTTCATGCCCTTGTACAGCTGGGTCTGTTAAATTCTAGGTGACCCCCATCCCTACAACTTCTGAGCATGATGGAGCCCCATCTGCCAGGACTGACTCAGAATCCTCCTAAGGCTGCATTGCATGCCTACTTCTCCAAAAGCCCAACTAAACAGGTTCAGACATCAGAGGGAATCCCTGGCCAGTTGTGAGTGTATGTGCACGAACTTGCCTGGCTTAGTCTGATGGACATGACTTGAGTGTACATATATGTGCATGTATACAATGTATGCATGTATATATCTATCTATTCACATCCTTATGGAGGTCTCATCTGACCTATCCGTTTCTTGACTTCTTGTTTACAACTAGAGGCCTGGTGCATGGGTTCATGCACTGGTGGGGAAGGGGGGGATTTGTGCACCGGTTGGGAGGCCTGGCCTGTGGGGATTGGCTGAAACCAGCTCTCCAACAAGCCTGCCTGGATCTATGTGCAGCTATCTTCTTATTCCCCCATCACAATGGAAAAGGGACCTTCCTCTTGAAGACAGCCAATTTCAAGAACCTGGGCTTCCCATCCTATCTCCTTTCACCTTCTCAGAGACCTTTCTTCTTCCTACATTTTCAACCTTCCCTTCCCTAACAGTGCGTACAAACAAGCACTTATGTCTTCCATCTTAAACCACAAAACCTGCCTCAGCCCCACACTTGCCCCATCACAGCTCTTGCCCTTTCGCTCTCCTTTGAAGCCTCTCCTATGCTTAGTACCCTTTACTAGCTTCCCCTTACCCTAAGGACAAAGACCAAAGTCTAAGGTGTGGCCTAGAAGCTCCCTCTCCAGTTTCACCTCATGCCACCCTCCTCATTTCCCCACACCCACTATGCTTCAGGCAGTCATTCACTGAACAAATAATGATTGGTGATGGGGCCAGAATAGTGAGTAAAAGAGGCAAAAATTCTCTCCTGTCATGGAACTTGCATTCTAGCTCCAAGAAGCTGCCAGGCTTCTTCTCACCTCAGGGCCTTCCCACAACCTTAGCCAATTCCTGCTCATCCTTCAGATCCCAGCTTAGCTACCCCTCAGGGAACTATCCTTCAACCCCATACATCAAGTCCCCATGACTCTGAAACTTTTAGTGTTATAATATAATAAAAATTATTTAACATCCATCTTTTCTGTTATATCTCCAGGGCCTAGTTCAGAACCTGGAATATATTCATGTGTCTTTGCACTCTATGAGTATGTTTATATAAACACACTTATGTCTGTATATTTCCACAGGTGTCTATGTATGTATGCCTGTACGTGTACCTATTAGCAATTTTGGGTATGCCCACTTGGGTGTATGCATTCGCATGACTATACATGGGTGTGTGTGTGCGCATGTCTGTGTGTGTGTATTCTTCTGGCCCCTCAGTGAAGCTCTGACCTCCTGGAGGGAGCTGAGAGCAGGGCCCCAAGTCCTCTCTAAGCTGACAGTTCAATAAGAGTATAAGATCATTCAATGACACTCCAAATGTCAGCAAACATTGGCTTGCTCCACTCTGCTAGAGGGGAAGTAGGTGAAGTCGGGAGATGTGGAAATTTTGTCATTAAAAGCTGCTTTTTCCCTGATGCAACCCACACCATTTCCAGACAGGAGAGGGCGGCTGAAAAACATTTTGCCTTTCCTCAGCTTAGAGGTCTTAGGAAATGGGAATGGTGAATTCACTCACAGTTGCTTCCTTAGTAGGCAGATCTAGGTGGCCAAGCAGACCAGAACCCTCCCCATTTTTTTAATGGGGAAAAGCTCTGTAGGGGAGTTGAAAAGGAGAAGAGAAGGAAAGGAAGGAGGGACAAAGGAAGATCAAGGACAGGAGAGGATCCTGTAGATAGTCAGAGCGCAGGTCACAAATGGGAAAGAAGGCATGGAGTAAGGCTTTTGCATGATATCCCCACAACCTTGGCAATGACCTCTCCGATCTTGCTTTTGTTGTTACTCTTTTTAAGGGAGCAGGTATCTCTGTGTAGCCTGCACTAAGTCATGCAGTATAAACAACAGAAAGATCACCATCCCCTGGACCTCCAGGGCCCTGTAGCCTGCCTAATTTGAATGGCTGCTGACAAGGACTGAACCAAAGTCTGGGAGAAAGACAACTCTCTTGCTGGACCTTCAAGCACAGCTACAACATGATGTGGCTAGAGGACAGGAAGGAAGGGGTTAGACCTCTTATTTTTTCTTAGACCTACTAAGTTTACCTCCCAAGGAGCCATCACAAGGCCTACTGGGAATAGGGTCCTCAGTTTCCCCTTGTGCCCATTCCCCTCTATGGTTAAGCACACTCTGGCAGAGAACCAAGCTGAACAGGCTCAGGGTAGCCCACTTCCACCTGTAGCAGCACCAAGGTAGCCCTGAGTGGCAATGTTATCACATGGGTCGGCTACTTTCCTGCCTTTCTGTCAAGGAACCTAGAGCCAGGGAGCGATCCATATACCAAAAAGTCTAGTGAACTTCACGGAGCAATTGTTCATGGTCAGCGCCTGCCTCGCCTGGCCGGGCCTTCACATTGCATTTGCCAAGGCCAGCAAGCAGCCTCAGATGCACTCTGACAGCTGGCATGCTGTCTTCTAGGAGCGCAGGCCTAACCACACCCACATGTGCAACTCTGTCAAATCCTGAGTGAGAGGGCCTCTGTGGAGCCAGCTCTCAAAGACCAGCCAGCCAGCCCGCAATCATTCAGAGCCCATACTCTCTACCTAGCCCTGATGTGGCCACTGGGGACACAGGGAGGGGCCAGATTCAGTCTCTGTGCTCCAAACAGACATGGCTGTAAGGAAACACACACAGACTCCATTTCTCCACTCTAAGATTCAAAGTGTTAAGGAGCCTCAAGGCAAGAGACTGACTGTAGAGGTGATACCTGAGCTGAATCTTCAAGAGGAGGGCAAATACCCGATGAAGATGACTAGGGGGCATTTCAGAGAGAAGTAAGGTCATAGGTCAAGAGCTGAAGGAAGCACAGAGCCTGGCTTCCACAGCCAAAGATGGCAGATAGTAAGCAGCTGTTGTTTGGGTGCATGAGGCAGTGGGGGACGGGGATATGTGAGTCAGGAAAGATGGGTAGGGGTCAAAGTATAAACAATGCAGAGTGCAGAGGACCATGGAAGAGCAAAAGAGTTCACAAATGTTGCCACAAATAATGGCTGCCCTGAGACCTATGGAACAAAGTCCAAGGTCATTCTCTCTCACTGCTCCTTCCCATGCTCACTTAGCTCTACACACACCAAAAGCACACTACTTCCTCTGCCTAGAAAGCCTCTCCTCCTCAGACCCCCATCGTATCTTCCTTGAATATGCCCAGTTTAAGACCCAAATCAGGATCCCAGCCTGACCTCCAATAACTTCTCTTCTCTGAATCCCCTGGCAGCCACTACTCTGACCCCTGGTGTGCTTTCCCTTCCCCAAGCTTCCTGGGAGTCATTGCTGACTGGTGGCATGGGGCTCCTGAGGCTGCCCAGGGCTGTTGATCTTACTTTAGAAGGATTTATGGGGATGAGCCTCCCTAGTGGACTGAGCCTCCTGGAGCAAGGATCCACTAGAGCAGAGATCTAGGGAGTCTATTCACATATCTCCTTTCTTCTGCTTACCTAGGAGGTACAGCACACACTAGGAAAGAACAGTTTTCTGAGGATCCATTATCTGCCACGGCCCACCTCCCAGCCCACATCCTCAGTCCTCTCCCCAGGTGCCTGGCGCTCGCTGGGAACTGGGCTGTAGTTTCCATGGCCCTGCTCATGTGAGCAAGGCTCTGCTGCGGCTAGGCAGGACCAAAGCCAGCCCAAATCAACACTACCTGCCAACCAGAGGAAGATACCAGAGCCAGTCAGGAGGGTCCGAGGCCACACTCATGATCACATTAAAGAGGAGACTTTTCCAGAGATTTAGTTAGAACTGCATCTCTCCCAGAGATAATACAACTCAGCCCAGAGATTCAGCTCTGAGCAAGAACCTGGAATGCCCCCTTAACTGGAACTTCTCTGCACATCTGGGTAATACCAAATAGGGAAGTGTCATACTCCACTCAGCAGCCTGGTCCTCACAAGCAGCTCCCCATCCCAGAAATAACCACAACCTTCCAAGGCACATTAGCTAGAGAAGAGGAAACAGGGATGTTGAGAAAACAGAAGAATAGAAAGAAAAGGAGATGAGAACAACAAAAAGAAAAAAAAAAAACAGAATGAGAAAAGAAAGCAAAGGAGGGGAGATCTGAGGCACAGGAACCTGACGAAGCACCCAAGTGGGGCTCGGACACAGTACCTTTTTCAGATTAATCCACTGCTTGAAGTAATCTGCCACTGGCAAGCCCAAGTACTGGCACTGGCCTGGGAGCCTGCAAGAAAGAGAAGAGAAAACAAGTTGGGCACACACATGTCCCAGGTAAGGAATCTTAAGCTAGGAAATCCAACATAAAGTCCATAGACAAACAGGCCTCAAAAAGCCCACCCATTAGCCATGGGACCCATCCCACCCAAGAAAGGCCCCGCACCTCCAGCACCCTGGACATTGAGCTTCATATTCAGCCCTCAGATCCAAATGTGAAAACCTGAAGACTATCTCTATATATAAAAAGCCAACGACTGGACTGCCAGAACAACCGGTTGCTATGATGCCCACTGCAGCCAGTGAACCTGCCTGGTGGGGGGTTGGAGCCAGCTCCCCTGGTCCCTCTCCCTGGCCATCTCCATCCCTGATGTTATAACCAGAGTTATAGAAGCATCCAACAGACTGTCCAATCTATGAGGACAGGGGAGAGGAGGATAAGAAATCAATCAAAGGACTTTATGCATGCATATGAGCATAACCAATGGACACGGGGTGTGCTGGTGAGGGCATGTTCTGAGGGGATTGAGGTGACCAGAGAGAGGTCATTGGGGGGTAAAGAAGATTTATTTAATACTTTAAACAATAATTTATATTAAAAAAAAAAAGAGTAATACTTAAAGCCTGCCCATATGGGGCTCCCAGTTTGTTCAGTGGACTGGACAATAAGTAAATAAAACAGCCTTAAGTTGGAGCACTGGAGTGCATAAAAGTATGGAGAAAGACACAAAATATCAGCTGGAGAACATAGTTTTCTTACTAAGGGAAGAACTTAGTTACAGGCAACAGAGAGCCTTTAAAGAGCTGTGGTTTACTGTGATTGTTCCACATCCAAAGCATCAAGAACAATACATTAAATAAAGCTGGGTAGCTGCCAGGTAACAACATAGCAGTCATAGAGATATCATATTGAAGATGTAATGGAGGACTGAAGGGAATGTGGAGCAGTGAGAGAAAGCAGTAGAACCCAATTCCAAGTTTATGCATTGGCTAGCTTCATGCTACAAAGACAGATATAAAGGAGACAGGGGCAGAGACAGCATATTTGACACCCAGAGCGGATCAACATTTAGTCAATTTTATTACTGTTGTATCCTTTTTCTGCCCAAACCAGGGTGGACTGCTTCCACTGCCTCACCCCTAGTACACCGCTGGAAGAAGGCACGAGTCTGGGAATGCAATTTTAGGTAGATGCCTGGCACATGGTAAGCTCTCAATATCTACTGAGCATGATGTGCTTAGGAGACACTCAGAGTGGGATGATATCTAAGAGGCAGCTAGATATCCAGTTTTATTTATTTCTCTCTCTTTTTTTAATTAAGGTATTATATGTGTACATATCTTACCATTGTCCCCTCTCTCCCCCCCTAGATATCCAGTTTTAAAGGGAGGTCTGGACTGAATATACAAAATGCTGAATCATTAATGTAACTGAAGTAAAATTAAAGACATAAGAATAGATTAAGGTCACCTGAGAAGAATGTGAAATGAGAGGAGCAGAGGAACCAAGTCTCGTAAGTTTTATTGAGCTAAAATGAAACCAGGCCACCTCTACCCAACCATTACCACACACAAGAAACATACTGCTTCAGCTCTAATTTTGGAATTCTTAGACCATCCTTTCTTAGTACTACACTAAAATCTGTCTCCTTGTAACTTCCACCCTGACGTATGTCTTTAGAAACTACAGAGAATGAGACTTCCATCTCTTCCCTGCAGAACCCTCCCAAGGTCTGGGAGCCCAGGAAGCTTCCCCCGAGTTCCCTTCTCCAGGTCACACTCCCTCAAGCTCCTTCAAGAATTCCACAGGAGACTGTTCTGTCAATGGAGGAGCCCATTCTCTGTCTCACTGCTACACTAATAAACTCACTTTCACTTTAAATAAAAAACAAAAAATTATTCCATAGGAGATAATGTAACAGGAGTCAGGACTCACCCAACCCATCCCTGTTCCTGGAGGGCAGGACTCCTGGACCCTTTCACATCACCAGTGGTCAACCTAAACTACTGTGAAAGCAAGCCTCCCCTATCTGGGCTCCTATACAGGGTGGGGCAAAGTAGTTTACAGTCATTCCTATGGCAAAATAATACAATAACTAATAAATAATAATACAAGAATAAACTCCATGCTTTGTGTACTCACAGCTATAAACCGACTTTTGCCCTACCCTGTGTAGAACTGATTTTTGAGCTTAGGTCATTAGTGTCAAATGCCACCGAGTGGTCAAGCAAGATGAGAGCTGAGAAACACCCAATGAATTTGGCATCCGTGGGCTGGTGGGTGCAGAAGGTAGCCTGCAGCGTGTTTAAGAGTGAGTAAGAGGTAAGGAAGTGGAGACTACAAGTGCAAACTCCTTTTTTTAGGAAGCTTGGCAATGGGAATCCAGTTGAGATGACCCAGAACGTTTCAGGGAAGTTCGGTCTTCCCTCCACTCCTCTTCAGTTAGTTGACAGACACTAAAAGGAAGTTGAATCTCGGGTGTCAAGCAGTACAGTAAGGATTTACTTTTCTAAAACCTATATCTTCCCTGAAGGGAAGGTTCTTCTCAAACATCCAGGTGGCACAGTGACATTAACCACAACCAGTCAAATTCCTGGAAGGGGAATTCTTCTGAGGTCAAGATGATGAAAGGGTATCTAGGTATGAAGTACCCATGTGGGAACCAAAGACAAAGAATAAAAGAAAACTGGGCAGGGTTTTAAAGGACAAGAAGTGGTCTTAGGAGCTAGAATGTGATTAGCCTAAGAAGCAGAACTGTAATGTTTGGATAATTTTCTCATTTCCTTCAATTTTTCTTTCATGTTCCTTATCCTTACTATTTGTGAAAATGCTTGCTGAGCTCAGCTACTTTTGAAAAATCACTTTAAGGACTGTGAGTGAAGGAGGGGAAGGTCACTGGAAGCAGTAGAATCCACAAAGGAATAGTCAGGGGTCTGGCCAGCAAAAGGTAGAGGTCCTGGAGCACCTATCATATTCTCCCTTAGCCAACCCTGGTCTTTTTGTTGACACAGGCCAGGAATCTTATTATCTGTGGCTAGCCCTGAGGGAGGGGGAGGTTTCCTCTTTGAAGAGATTTCAAAAGTAGACATTAGCTACAGACATTCTTACCCAGGTAGTAAGGGTCTAGCTCAGTCCAATCCTGCCTGCTCCTGTTAGAGGTTGAACTATACCAGAGGGGGCACACTGAGGACATACTAGACAGACTGTCAGAGTGGATCCTTAGCCTCAATCCTGAGTGCTGTCTGTACCCACAGCTGACCGAGACAGAGGAGAATGGGACTCACTCAGGTACACATGCAGTTTGTACTCACAAGTATTCTTGAGTCCTCTAGCCTGTAATTGGTCCTAGCCCTATGACTTCAAGACACAAGCAGTAGCCGAGACCGGTTTGGCTCAATGGATAGAGCGTCGGCTTGGGGACTGAGGGGTCCCGGGTTCGATTCCGGTCAGGGGCATGTGCCTTGGTTGCGAGCACATCTCCAGTGGGGGGGGGGTGCAGGAGGCGGCTGGTCGATGACTCTCTCTCGTCGATGTTTCTAGCTCGCTATCTCTCTCCCTTCCTCTCTGTACAAAATCAATAAAATATATTAAAAAAAAAAAAAAAAAAAAAAAAAGACACAAGCAGTAAAGAAGTAGCAGGGCCCAGGCCCATCTTCATAAGACACACAAAACCAAAAGCCATATTGAACTCATGAGAAGATAGCTACACATTTCTATGACAGAATCTTATCCCAGCTTAGAGGCACCAAGAGAGTGACCCGTGAAGAAGATGGGTTTGAGTAGTCATTATCCCCTACATACAAGATGAAATGGAAACTTGCTTGTACATAAAACAAGCCAAGGGCAGAACTAGAAATGGAATCTAAGTCTTCTGACTACACAAGGCATCAGCTATGTACATTCACTTCCTAGGGAGCTCTTCACGGTCCCTAGGAAGGCAAGATCGAGGGCCTTAGAGAAGAGGTAGCTCAAGATCACACCTGGATCCAAGGTTCTTAGGATCTTACAGCTAGGATCAGTGGGTACATGGTTCCAACAATTTGGGAAGGAAAAGAGTAAAAGTTCCCCTGGCACAAAGGGTCTGATGCTGTGGGTTCCTACCAGATACTGATCCCAAGAAAAGAGCCACTGGCAGTGGGCCCTGAACTAGCCTGCGGGCATGAACGTGCAGGCAGGTTTATGGTGCCCAGGTCTCCATGCAGCTGGAATCATGGGCACAAAGCTCCTCAACTGCCCAAACATCATCTGGCCATACTTATTACTGTTGCCCAATGAAATTTTATGCATCGAGTCCACAGGTGTGATTTCCCCTTCTTTATGAGGGTCGGAATGACATCACTGATGGCCAATAGAAAGGAGCCAATTATGTCCAGGCCATAAAAAGGAATGGGATTTTTCAACCAAATCAAAACTTCCTTCAGTTTCATGAATGCAAGGGGCTCGCTTTAAGGAAGGGCCCCCCAGTCCTGCCTGTGGACTCTGAAGTGAGGGATATGATCACTATCCAAACACTGTGGGGTTTAGGGCCAGACCTCCGCCTTTGGAATTAAACATGTGGCCCTGCTCTTAATACATTGGAATCCGAAGTTATCAAAATAGACACCTGACTGGCTCCTCACTACTCCATCCAGGGAGAAGTTGGAAAAGATGGGATACTTCTCAAGTTTCCTTATTATCCTTTTAAGTAACAACAACAAAAAAAAAGCCCTCTCTGCTCAGTATGGAAGGAACAGGGGTGTGAAAAACTGCCCCCCAACAAGTGTACAACACAAAGCAAAAGGAGCCTCGCCTTCCCCACCCACCCCTCATCCAGCCCCACCACCTGCAGCCCAGCACTCAGGCTTGGTCCAGACAGCCCTGATGGCAAACAGGTGTGACTAGCTGGACGCCAGCCAAGGCAGGGGACTAGCTCATTAAGGGAACGCCACCCGAGCTAATGGGTATGGGCAGGATGAAGCCATTGTGAGCAGCAGCTCAGCTTTGAAGATTAGGTCAAGCAGAGCTGGGGG